GTGGTTCCTGTGGATGGATCCCTTCCCTCCAGCCTGTCGAACACACCACACAGCTTGGTGTCATCACCAAACTTGCTGAGGGTGCACTGCATCCCACTGTCCATGTCACTGGCAAAGGTGTGAACACACCACACAGCTTGGTGTCATCACCAAACTTGCTGAGGGTGCACTGCATCCCACTGTCCATGTCACTGGCAAAGGTGTCAAACAAGACTGGTCCCAGTACCAATCCCTGCAGAACACCACTCGTCACTGGTCTCCACTCTTCGAGTGCATTCAGCCACCTCTTACCCACAGAGTGGTCCATCCATCAAACCCATGCCTCTCCAATTTAGAGACAAGGATGTAATGCAGCACGCTGTGGAACACTTTATGCCAGTCTAGGTGGATGATGTCAGTTGCTCTTCTCTTATCCACTAACACTAAGTCTATATTAAAAAGCCACCGAACTTGTGGGGCACGATTTGCACCATGAAGCTATGTTGGTTGCCACCAGTCACCTCCTCATTCTCCATTTGCCTTAGCAGAGCCTTCAGGAGGATCTGCTCAGTGGTCCTGCCATTAATACCCCATACCATGATGACTCTGTCCCAGGAGTTTAACACTGGGAGAATGAGTGTTTCTACTCTTACCAACTTAACTATTTAAGAACACTAGTATGTTGTTAATTTGCTTTAGAGTTGTTACAAATTCAATATTTCTCAAATCCTAGAACCATAGGATTGTTTGGTTTGGAAAAAAATCTTCAAGGTGGAGTCTAACCACTCACCTAACTCTGCCAAGTCCACTGCTAAATCATGTCCCTAAGCATCTTATATATATGACTTCTAAACACATCCAGGGATGGTGGTTTGACCACTGCTCTGGACAGCATGTTTCAGGGCTTGACAACCCTTTCAGTGAAGTAATTTCTCTTAATATCCAACTTCAGCCTTTCCGGGTGCAACTTGAGGCTGTTTTCTCTTGTCCTATCACTTGTTCCATGAGAGAAGAGACTGGCACCCACCTGGCTC